GTGGCGGTGTTGGTGGCGGGCGTCTGCGGGGCGGCGCGGCCGGCGACCTGCAGGTGGATGGGCAGGACGACGGGGCTGTCCCCCAGGCAGATGGGCTGCAGCACGGTGGCCGCCACCTTCAGGGCCCCCCCGCTCTGCGACTCGGCTGGCGGCGTCAAGATGGAGGGCGCGGGGACGGTCACCAGCGGGGACAGGGCCTTCTTCATCAGGTCGGCCGAGTTGATGTTCCAGGCCTCCGCCGTGATCAGCTGGGCCACCCCGTTCTCCAGCTTGTTGTTGGCCATCGCCGAGGGTGAGCTGGTGACGTCCATGGGCAGGTTTGGGGCGTCCTTGTACAGCTCCTCCATGTCACAGGGCTTCTTGGGCTCTGCCGGCGCCGCCTCTACATCGCCGTCAGCGGGACCCGTGGCGGCTCTGGGCTGCCAGGAGCATCGGCACGGACATAATTTGGCCTGCAAACCAGAAACATATTTTAGGCACCGCATAAATCTCCTCCTTAAAATAATATTTGCAATTGCCTTTAAAGACCCCATCACCAAAGAAAAGCCGTTAAACGTTTCCACGCTTCAGGCTAACGGCTCTGTAATACACTGCAGTGTATATACAGAGATGCTAGATACACATACATCCCTGAGTGTCGTACGAAGAGTTTTGAGGAACTTCTATTTAGTCGTAAACACAGATAATTTAAAAGGCCTTGAGGGCTGCCTGCAGCCAACCTCCCCCCCCGCCCCCCCACAGGCTGAGACAAGGACCCGGGCTGTCCCTTCCACGTTTTTAAACAAAGCTTCACATAATGACAGTGCACGGCCAAGCCGAGCGACAGCGCGCTGCTTTAACTCAACAAAAGCCCCAAAACCAAACATTTCTAAAAATATCGTGTCTAAGAAATGTTCCGCCACAGGGGAAGGATCCTCACTTCCCCTAAAACACTTGTCCCTTTTTCATCCCAGTGGGATTCACTAAAGGCAAGCAGGCGAGCGCCGCGCGCTGCGTGCGGCACCTCCCAAACTGCCGTGTGCAGGGTGGGAAAGGAGCAAATCCAGACCAAATCCTGACGTTTGCTCTGCCACAGAGCTAGATAGAGATGGTCACATGAACCAGGCACTTCAGTCATAAAAGACATGAAGAATAAAAAAAAAAAAAATCAAAGCAACTTCAAATTTATTTTGACAGCACAACCCTTTATATTAACCAAGCAAATGGCAACTAAAGAAACAGCAGAGGTGGTTTCCATTCATGATCACAGTGAAATTTGCAGCCTATTTCCTAAAAAGATTAACACCCCCTTTCCCCCCTCCCCCGCCCCACCCCTCCAAAAAAAAATAAGCAGCAAACTAATGGCGCCACACATCCATTTATTCGGAGGGATAAATAATTTCTGCTCCGCGAGCTGCCAACAGCAGACTTTGGCTGGGGGCTGGCCGCTCCGCCTGGCACCGCCTGTGCCTCTCCCGAAGTGCGCAGTGCATCCTGCCGTAGTAATAATCACCATGGAAACTTGTCCGGTTTCAACTCCGTTACCATGGGAAAGCACCAGCGCACCCCAAATTTACATTTTTCACCTGCACACGGCTGGATCCTCCTCCCTATGAGCAAAACGCATGCCATCGCTGATGCCCGCCTGGCCGGGCCAGTGGGAGCGAGGCGTTTCCCTGCGTCCCGCAGGCGTGCTGGCGTTGGGATGATCGGGAAGGCAGCGCCTCTCCGAAATGGGATGGGTGGGGAGTCCCAGCCTGGGGACGCGTCTTTGTCAGAGGGCACAGGAAGAGCTCCACCGGCCCCGGCACTTAGGGAAATGATTTGCTCGCATAGATGTTTGTAGGACTGACAAACCTGGAAACTAATAGGGGATGGGGAGAAGGGGGGGAAAAAAAAAAAGCAAACCCCACGAACAAAGGCTAAAAAATGGCCAAGGCAGGGAAGCGGGAAATCTCCCGAGTCTCTCCTGAGACCTGTAAATCCTTGGATTTGGCAGTGAGATGCCACGGCGAGCGCAAGACTGTAGAAATGTCGGGAGTTAATAGTGGAGGCTGGCTGGGTAAAATGCTAATAATTTATCAGGCGCGTTTGAGTTCTTCAGAAGGATTTTTAAAAGTAAACAGATGAGTCATTTCTTTTCCCCTCCTGCTGCTGGCTTAAGGAGAATAATTCCGGATTTTTCTCATCTCCTGAAATGTTCTGCAGAAAACATTCACAAATACAGGGTTGAGGGGTTTTTGTGTTTGTTTCCTTTTCCAGCCTCGGCTAAGATAGATTACAGGCAGGCAGAGATGCCCAAGCACCCAAAAGCAGTAGCAAAAAATCAAATCCCTTATTCAGCAAGTGACAAGTATCAGCACCAAAAAAAATCGGGCCAGTCTTGTTTTGGAAAAAAAAAAAAAAAAAAGAAGAGCAGTCGTTTCTAAAAATAAAGACAATGAGGAGACCGCTCAGCAGATTCACGCTGGAAAAAAAATAGACGTCGTTGTTTCTGTTGGGGAATTAAAAAGCCATTTTCTACCGCTCTTATATAATCTCTCCCTCCCTCTTTTTAAAGGGACCATTTTAAACTCCTGTGGCCTCTGCAGCGCACACCAGCATCTTTGCTCCTCCAGCTGCTGCAGCACAGCCAAGCATTTTGCACATGACGCTGGCTCTCCCCGACGTTTCTGTTTGCTTGAGAAGCGTGAGATCGCCGTGTTTCCATAGGGAATTGATGTCCTGGCGGGGACAGGAAATGACCCCCTGTTCCCCTGGTAAAGCCATTTAACGTTGAGAAATAGAAAAATTAAGATGAAAATTATGCTGCATAAGAGAGTTGAGGGATTAGCATGCTTGTACGGACCCACAGAGGAGAGACAGATCGCTGCCCAAGATGAAAGTATAAAATATAATAATAAAATCCCCCCATTGCTGCTTTAAAAAGTGACAGGGCTGGAGGCAGAGGAAACATCTAGATGAGGGGAAGAGGAGCTCATCTATCACCATCAGACACCTTGAAGAAATGCCTGTGGGGTTGGTTGGGTTTTTTTTATTTAAAGCATAGTCAAATACTGTTTTCCACAGTGGCTGCTATATGTTTCTGGGATCTATAAATACATATATTGTTAAGCTCGTGGTCCTACACGGCCTCTTGGAGGGCCCCACCATGCGAGGGGGAGGAGAAGGAGAGAAAGGTGAGGTGCAGCCCTCAACCCAGGTTTATGGGCTTGGGGTGGGCTTTTTCCCCCCTCACCTTTCCTATGTGGAAGCGTACCTTTCCGTACTTCCAGTGCACCGGCTTCTCAAGCGTGGGATAGCTACAGGAAAAAACCCAAAACGAAACCAACATATATACATACACTTAAAACTATTTCATGATCCTGCCCACAGCCTGCAGCTTGGCGGTAGCTGGCTGCCAGGTACAAGAGAGTCCCAGGGCAACTGCCCCCTGTGCCCTATAAAGCAATTTTCAGTTTTACCCGAGGGGCAATCCCAGGGCTCCTAACCATGTATTACACTAAACACCTATTATCAAGGTCAGTAAACAGGCAGCGTGAAAAGGATCCAAGTCCCCGAGCCTCCAAAGAGGAAACGTTTGAAGATCTGGGATCAAGAGACAGTTTGAAGTTGTCCAAAGAGATGTTTTGTAGTTCCCGGACTCCTTTTTAATACGACGTACAGCGAGTACACAGTACAAAACCGTAAGTCAACATGGGGATGGCTTAAACAAAAGTAAATTTTCAATGTTGGTGTTAACAGTGATAGCTATACTCTATTTCTCCTTTAATAAATATCAACCTGAAGTATGTGCTGGGTTTGGGTTTTGGTGGGGTTTTTTTTTTAAGACTGCTGCTTCACTGCACATAAAGTATTCAGAGTTACCCAGTTTTTAAAACAAGTTTCATGTACTTAACAGACACAAATGAAGTTACTGTAATTTGCTGAAATTGCCTTAAATTTCCTCTGTCTACCACACCCGAGTGCTGGAAAATCAATTAATTT